AGGTTTACTATGCAAAGAAGAAGCGAAGACACCAACAAGGCCAGGGAGACGATTCCAGTCACAAGAAGGAGCGGAAGGTTTACAACGATGGTTATGATGATGACAACTATGATTATATTGTAAAAAACGGAGAAAAATGGATGGATCGTTATGAAATTGACTCCTTGATAGGCAAAGGTTCATTTGGACAGGTCGTAAAAGCCTATGATCGAGTGGAACAAGAATGGGTTGCCATTAAAATCATCAAGAACAAGAAAGCGTTTCTGAATCAAGCCCAGATCGAAGTGCGGCTGCTTGAGCTCATGAACAAACATGACACTGAAATGAAGTACTACATAGTGCATTTGAAACGCCACTTTATGTTTCGGAACCATCTTTGTTTAGTTTTTGAAATGCTGTCCTATAATCTCTATGATTTGCTGAGGAACACCAACTTCCGAGGGGTCTCTTTGAACCTAACACGAAAGTTTGCACAGCAGATGTGCACAGCACTGCTTTTCCTTGCGACTCCAGAACTTAGTATCATTCACTGTGACCTAAAGCCTGAGAACATCCTCCTGTGTAACCCCAAAAGAAGTGCAATCAAGATCGTTGATTTTGGCAGTTCTTGTCAGTTGGGGCAGAGGATATACCAGTATATTCAGAGTCGCTTTTACCGGTCTCCAGAGGTGCTACTGGGAATGCCTTATGACCTTGCTATCGACATGTGGTCCCTTGGATGTATCTTGGTTGAAATGCATACTGGAGAGCCTCTGTTCAGTGGTGCCAATGAGGTGGATCAGATGAATAAAATAGTGGAAGTCTTGGGCATCCCGCCTGCTCACATCCTTGACCAAGCACCCAAAGCAAGGAAGTTCTTTGAGAAGTTGCCCGATGGCACCTGGAACTTAAAGAAGACCAAAGATGGAAAACGGGAGTACAAACCACCAGGAACCCGGAAACTTCATAATATTCTTGGAGTAGAGACAGGAGGGCCTGGCGGACGGCGAGCTGGGGAATCGGGTCATACAGTAGCTGACTACTTGAAGTTCAAAGACCTCATTTTAAGGATGCTTGATTATGACCCCAAAACTCGGATTCAACCGTATTATGCCCTGCAGCACAGTTTTTTCAAGAAGACAGCTGACGAAGGTACAAACACAAGTAACAGTGTGTCCACCAGCCCTGCCATGGAGCAGTCCCAGTCTTCAGGCACCACCTCCAGCACGTCGTCCAGCTCAGGTGCGTCAGCAGTTCCCGGCTCCCCTGGGCTGGTCAGGCACTGAAGCTCCTACACAAGTCACTGTTGAAACTCGTCCTGTTCAAGAAACCACCTTTCATGTAGCCCCTCAGCAGAATGCACTGCACCATCACCATGGAAACAGTTCCCATCACCACCACCACCACCATCACCACCACCACCACCATGGACAGCAAGCCTTGGGTAACCGGACCAGGCCAAGGGTCTACAATTCTCCAACAAATAGCTCCTCTACCCAGGATTCTATGGAGGTTGGCCACAGTCACCACTCCATGACATCCCTGTCTTCCTCAACGACTTCTTCCTCGACATCTTCCTCCTCTACTGGTAATCAAGGCAATCAGGCCTATCAGAACCGCCCAGTGGCTGCTAATGCCTTGGACTTTGGACAGAATGGAGCTATGGACGTTAACTTGACCGTCTACTCCAATCCCCGCCAAGAGACTGGCATAGCTGGGCATCCAGCATACCAATTCTCTGCCAACACAGGCCCTGCACATTACATGACTGAAGGACACCTGACCATGAGGCAAGGGGCTGACAGAGAAGAGTCTCCCATGACAGGAGTTTGTGTGCAACAGAGTCCTGTAGCTAGCTCGTGACTACATTGAAACTTGAGTTTGTTTCTTGTGTGTTTTTATAGAAGTGGTGTTTTTTTCCCAAAAACAAAGTGCAAAGCTGCTTGAATCAGAAGGAGATTAACACACTGAACCGCTACAAGAGGGCAGAGCTGACTTTTTTTAACTTGAAAAGATTGCAAAGGGACAGTGAAGTTGTTAAGAGCCATGTCCACCTGTCTTCACGGGAGCTCCGAGGTGCCCTCTTTGTGCCCCACCTTAACCTGCCGTCTCCCGCCACAGTGGGTTTGTCTTTCTACCCAGCAAAAGTTCATGTTCAGATGTTGGTCTTGGTCATTTGCCAACTCATTTTAAAATAAAAAGGCACTGCACATAATTTGCATAAAGGGAAAAAAAAAAAACTGCTTGGCCATTAGCTCAGGCCTACCACTGACTAGCTCTTACATTTAAACTCAGCCCATTTCTGTTAATCTATATGTTGACACATTTTACGTGGCTTTACCTGTGTGCCATTACATGCTGCTCCCTGGACAGCAGGCTGGCATCTCCTGACTCAGCCTTTCTCTTCCCAGAATTTTCCTTGTCTGTTTATCCTACCTATACTTCCTGCCTGGCTACTGGCCAATCAGAGTTTTATTAAATCAATGTACAAAAGCATTATCCCACAACAGATATTGCCTCCTTTGCTATTACATCATCACTGTACTAAAACCTATTGATTCTGGTTCTGACTTTTCACCAAGCTCTATCCAACCCCACTTCACAATTACCCTTAAGGACATTTCTCCATGAATGACTTGTTATCACTCAAATCCAACACAAAACAAGAAGAGTTAAATCCTCCCAGCCTCCCACAATGACACCATCATAGAGCCTCCTAGTGCCCTTTGGTTTTGATATTCACACATACCTGGGACAAAATACTTTAAGCATTTAACAAGGCCCTCCCATCCAGTCACTTGCCATAGATTAGTGCATAAATCAAAGAAAAGAAAGTTGACAGAACCAGGGGATAAGTGTTACAGGAAGAGATAGGGACATGAACACACATTATCAGCAGCTTGGGAAGCAACTGTCCTGAGAGAACCACTGTACCATCTGGAAAGAATTTACTGTGATCTTTGCAAATCCAGAAGAGGACAACAGCCACTTCATGGGCAATAAAATAGACTCAACTAGATACTTGTGCATCCACATACTTATGCACTCACTTTTTCCAAAATATTCATCTAAAAGCAATGTTTCTTTGGGTAAGACAAATAGAAGGCAGAAAGAAAATAGAAACAGTTCAAGGCTCAGGACCACATCACAGGGTGTGTGGAAACAACTCAAGACTGTACATGACAGCGTCTGTCACTAATTGTATGGGCTAGACTTCTATGGCCATGTGAGACATTCTCTCTGGCCACCCCCAGTAGGCATGATTCCCTAGCATCAGCCCAGATTCTCCATCTGTCTTGCCATGTTTGCTGGTGTCAGCATAGATATGGCTGTGGTAACAAGGCATTCTTAACACATCCATGAGGCCATGACTACATCAGGATTCTCCTAACTTGGAGAAGCCAACTTCAGGGTTGACTGAATGGAAGGCCAACACATTGCTTCTCTATAGGACAACCCCAGACTCCAGGGAACCCAGTTCAGCTCTTTAAAGACAGAAAGTTGTTGAGCTCAACTGGGCACCTGTACATTCAGACATCTATGACCTTATTTTTTCCAGAATCTTTGGTTGGGTACATAACCAGGTATCAAATCATTATATGAGGTCTGCCAAATGTCTGGGACACAACTTACAAATTAAAATTATATCTGCCAACCTTATCAACCTTCGTTTGAGGTTTTGAGACTTCATGTGATTCCCAATGTTCTCTCTCTCTCTCTCTCTCTCTCTCTCTCTCTCTCTCTCTCTCTCTCTCTCTCTGACTCATGGTTGTGGATCACCATGTGAGCCCTCAGCTGTTCCTTCACACTGCCTTCATGGACTTTAGCCATCTAAAACCATAAGCCAAATAATTCAATGCCTTTTTTTAGCTTGCCCTTGGTTGTGGTGTTTTATCATAGCAATGGAAAAGTAAGACAATAAGTGATTTGGGTTGTGTGTGTGTAAAAATTTTATATTTAATACAGTGTACTATTTGTAATCTCAGATTCTCTCTGGACTTCTGTGCTCAAAATGATTAGTACAGGTGAGAACTCTTAGCTCCCAGATCCTGAAGAACTGCTTATCCTACTTCTAATAAATGCTTCAAAACATTCTCACTCTGCTGTCAAGTGCAATCATCGTCCTTTTATTCTTCGGTGCTGCTTATCAAAGCCAGTGTCTCAATTGTGCTATGCAAGTGTCCATCACTGAGCTCCACCTCCAGACCCCACTCATTTCTTTGTCTGTGGATTCAGGAAGCTATTTCAAAGCTGTGACGTGCACTGAGGCCCTACAACTCTTCCACATTGTGGTTAGGCAGATACCTAAGCTAGAATCATGGAGCAGTACAAAAGTCAGACACTGAAAACTTGCATGCTCTGTGATTATGACTACTGAACCCCTTGGGTTTTAAAAGATAAAGAATGGCATGGGTTTGTGCATGGTTTTAAGCCTTAAGACTTAAGTTATTTACTTTGATTTAACCTGACCTTGTTATTAAATTATATATAAAAGGATATAATTGACCATAGAGAGTGATATTTTTAATACAACTTACTAATCAGATATAAAAATTCTCAGAGAAGCACTAGATTTTGTAAATTTGCAGATTAATTTGGAATGTTTACCATATTAAGAGTTTGCATAGACAGAATTGCTATTTCACTTCCCTAGGCCATGCCACTTCTTAAATATTAGGGGGAAATGTAATTTAATGACCAATTATTAAGTGCTTTTTTTACCTAAATGGGAAAGCTTGTCCCTCTTCTGTTATATCCCTCAGGGTATAACTTCTTGAAGGTAGATGTATTCAATTGATTTCTGGTATAATATCCTAGGACAGTTTTATTAACTCCATGGTTTTTCAATTAATAATAATTAAATGCATTTTTCAGACTCAATCACTGATCGATTCATAGTAATTACCTCAATGGGACCACAAAGTGAAGTAACAGTTTGACTTCATCTGTATTAAATTACTAGGGTAGGCTTTGCAATGAAATTCAATGGGTAATGACAAAGATAAATGCCCAGGGGGGTGGGAATTGCATGAAGTGATTAAAGAGAGCAACACTGACCTTTTCTTCAAACTGTAATCACTTTACAGACTCGTCTCTTCACCAATAATTATTAGTTCCCAATATTTTCCAATCCTTCTGGGCATAATAAAAGAGAAAGATTGCGTATGAAAAGAGACTTGTTTTCTGGCCCCACATAGGAATAAATACCAAATCTGAGTCTAATTATCCAGCATCACATTAGTCCCCTAAGGAAAAAAAATATATAAAGTTTTAAAAAACATGTTTAATATTTTAGTCTCTTTAATATTAATAGAAAGCCTTCTTTCTCATTAGTACAGGAAATAAATAAACAGTGTACATTGTTATTTCTTTTACTTTCCAAAATGTAAACTAGATCTTCCTCCTGCTTTTTTCCTTGTATTCTCTTCAAAACAGTGGAGCTTTAGACCCACCAATTCAAGCACAGTAAGATACACAACTGTTCCCAGAAGAAGGAGTTTCCTAGAGTTCAGCTAGGGAAAAAGACTGACTACCCATGATGGATGCCCTGAAGTTGCTGTCACAACATCACAGCATGAGCTGGGAGGGAAGGGCATCTACAAAAAGTCCAACCTGCTCACAGCTCAAATGGAGTGAGTGACTCCAGATGTGGTAAGGCATACTTTTAATCCAAATACTCTGGGAGGCAGATGCAGGTGGATCTCAGTGAATTCAGGCCAGCCTGGTCTACATAGCAAGTTCCAGACTAGCCAGGGTAACATAATAAAACCCTATTTCAACACACACACACACACACACACACACACACACACACACACACACACGATAAGGAGAGTGGAGAGCATGCAAATACAGTGGCCTCCTAGCATGGAGTATAAACACCAAGCCTGGTGACAGGGTGTCCATGATAGCCCAGCACAGGGCATCTCACCCCAAGTATAAAGAGTGTCCACATGTACAAGGAGATGGCAGAGGAAATGGTATGCGAATAGGATTGACAGAATAAGTCAATAAAGGATGCTACCAGTTCCATATGGGCAAAGGGAGATGACACAAATATGGAAAGGAGCAGATCTAGAAATACTCCTTCTTGTGATATGGTGGTATGTGAACTCACTGTCTTAACATAGGGACACAGAAAAACATATTCAAATAAGTGTGTCTTGACCCAGCCCTACAAACCCCTAGCTCTACAAAACCCTAGCTCTCTCCACCAAGAGTTCCTGGGAACACAGTCCCCAAAAGCAGTGAACACACCTAACACCCAGATCTTGGATTGTTGGTACAATTCTCTAATAGGAAACATAGTTTCCTGGAGAATAGATGATTCCAAAGCTGGAGCAGGACGTGTAAGATGAGCCCAGAACACCCTGTGTCAGAAAGCAAGAAGCACTCAGAGAATGAGGAAGAAATACCCCTTAGAGGGAGGGGTTGTCGCTTGAAAAATCAGGGCTGCTAAGTATCAAACTTGAAACAGGGATGATAAGCTCATGCAGCAGCACAAGCTGCAGTGACTAGGAGGTTGAAGCAGGAGACAGCCCGAGCCCAGCAGTTTGAGATCAGCCTGGACAACATAAAAGCGCCGGTCCAAAATAACAAAACAAGTACTTCTGGCCTACTTGATAAAATAGGAAGCTGCAAATGAATTCACATTTAAATAAATAAGTTGAAATTTGGGTGAAAACTCAGTTTCAAAGCATCAAGAATGGTGTCCTGGCTAGTTTTATGTTGATTTGACACAACAGTCATTTAAGAAAACCTCAATTGAGAAAATACGTCCATAAAAATTGGGCTACAGGAAAGCCTATAAGGTATTTTCTTAGTGATTGATATAGTAGAGTCCACTCCACTGAGAGAGGGGCCATCCCTAGGCTGGTGGTGTAGTCAGAGTTTTTCTATGTCCTGCCTGGCCTGCGGTCAGAACAAATCTCTCTCACCCACCAGCCCCGCAGCCGCTCAGACCCAAGTAAACACACAGAGGCTTATATTAATTAAAACTGCTCAGCCATTAGCTCAGGCTCACTACTGACTAGCTCTTACATTTAAACTCAGCCAATTTCTGTTAATCTATATGTTGCCACATGTTCCATGGCTTTACCTATGTGCCATTATATGCTGCTCCCTGGACGGTGGGCTGGTGTCTCTTGACTCAGCTTTCCTCTCCCCAGAATTCTCCTTGTCTGTTCACTCCACCTATACTTCCATATATACATACATATACCAGT